TATTCTCTAATTTCCACCATTTGAAATGCTTTAATTTCTTGTAAAATCAGAACAAGATAGAATTTCAGAAAATGCGAATGCATGTTTCCTGCCTGCCTTTTTCTATAAGGCACAGTGAGTCAGGCATTATCATGCTTTTCCAGATTGTTTGGCAGTGAAGTACCTAGTTCATGAACAAAATTACTGTCACCAGCTGGGGAACAAATAACAGCCCTTTCTCTCCCCTGTCACTCTGATGGGTCATGTCAGTTTGAAGATAGAAAGTACCGTGCTGTTGCTCTGGAGCAGGCAGGTGAGGGACCAGGCAAGAACAGCCAGGTTGCTAAATACCACAGGTTTATGACAATCTTTTAAATTTGCTCCTAGACTTCTTACGTTATGACCTCATTTGATTTTAGAGGCATCTTTCAAAATAAATCATGACCAGTTTTGAATGATTTTTGCACCCTTTATATGTGAAATGTATACGGGGGCAGAGAGATCTTCAGTTCTGATTATTGCATTATTATTTTAAAGAATTACCAGTAATAGCATGATGTGGAAGAAATAGCAAGTGATTTCTGGCTTACTGCAGTCCGCAGGGGTTTCCCCATTGACACCTGCAGGACCAGGCTTCTGTCTCTAAATTATATGGGTTAGAAGCCTTCAGAGGCAACTGAGGTAGTTGAGTTCAATCACACTGTCAGTCTCTGTAAATGGCTAATGAAAATGCAGTTTAGTTTTATGGATGGGAGTTCATAGTATTAATTTTCTATAGCATGGGAAGGAGAATGTAATTTTGATTTCATATTTTCTCCTTTTCCTTTTGTACTTCTGTGGAAGATTTGGAGACACGCTCTTTGTAGGAAAGAGCCTTTCCCCTTGCAGTGAGGACTCTGGGGCCACTGCAGTGTAGCTCTGGGCACTGGGCTAATGAACTACATATCATTGTCTCAAATTCATCTTGTTCCTTTTACAAAGAAACGTTAACATATAGTGCATCCAGTTAGTACAATCTGTTCAAGCTTCTGCCTTGTGGGCCCTGTAGGAATTTGCCTTTTGAAGCACCAACTAAAGTTGGTATGGGAGAAGATGTTTTGCTCTCTCAGTTGGCCCCCAATTCACTCCACCTCTTCAGCAGCATTCCTAGAGCTCCCTTCATGTGCAATGAGCTGTTAACCTTCATGTTCTCATTAAAGACTGGATTCTTCTGGGTTGTGGTTTGACTAATGATTCCCCATCCCTGCAAGGGAACTGGAGCTGTTTGCTCTCCTGGTTAGCGGGAGGACACTGCCCACTTCAGTGCTGCCTCAATTGCTCAGACCGAGGGGGTTCTGCAGTCCCATAGCTCAGTGGTCTGGAATCATCTTTTCTTAAGGGGTGGATTTGTGGCAGTTGCTAATTCCATGAGCAATACCATCACCCACAGCTGGTAAAGGGCTAGGCGATGCTGTGGCAGTGACAGCAGCACTGAAATTCCTGTCTGCCCCTTGCTAAGAGATCCCATGCTGCGAGTGCAGAAGGCGGCATTGACCCGTCTGGTTCTTGCTGTCCTCTGCAGGCTTCTGCCCAGAGACTCAGCCGGGAGAAACTCCAGCAGCAGCAACAGCACAGGTGGATGGAACAGACTTAGCCTCTCCAATGTCTCCTCGGACTAGCAAGAGCCGCATGTCCATGAAACTGCGCCGCTCCTCTGGCTCAGCCAACAAGTCCTGAGTGGCAAGATGCCTGCAGCTTTCTAGTGAAGAGCAATTGGCCACCCTTCCCGCAGCGACTCACCGCCTTCTGGGTGTTTTTACTGCTCACACCTGTCATTCAAGGATAATGTCTCTCGTGTGTGTGCACCCATGCCCTGCATACTCCTTTTTTGTATGTTTATTTTAAACAGTGACACTGGAATTTTACTTTAATATCTTAGCTTCGTTTTTTTATATCAACCTTCAGTCTGCCTTTTTTTTCCTTTGCAATGCAGTTTGTACCCTGCACCTTTTACCTACTTGGATGATTATGGATGATTAACTTTGGGTTTTAGCTCTAGTTGATCTTGAATCAACATGGAATTGGAGACTGCAGTTGGATTACATTGTATTTATTGTGCCCCATTGCAATTTTCTCTGTAACAAAGAAAGAAATATGTACAATTTGAAAATGAATGTACAATTTTAAATTGAAGTTGCATTTGTAAAGTCTTTGTCAGATGTCACAATGTTAATGCACAAGATGTGTACAGATTATTTATGTTGAGAATAAAATAGTTCAATGGCCTTTCAAGCATTACAGAATCCAAATGAAATAATTCGCTCATAGCACCCTTTCATCATAAAGCAATGTATCATTTCATAATTCTGCAGATAATCTATGCCAGGAAAAAAAAATCACTGTGCTGAAATTCTACTTATGCTTGGCTTCCAAATATTTTTATAATGTTTGCTTTTCCAAGTGGTGTCAATAGTAAATGCCATTGAGTTTCATGAGTTTTAGCCGTTATCATTAGGCTGCTCCATATAGATGTATATTCTTTTTTCTTACATTAAAAAAAAATTAAAAACAAGCAAACACTTTCCTGATAGAAATTCATTGCTGTGATGATGGGTACTAGGAAAGAAAAGGGAACATGCTCCGGGAGCCTGGCCTGAAATGCTAATAATTTCAACCTTATGAGCGCAGATTAGTACACAAGTTCCACCCACCCAGAGGTATTTTCCTACAGAAAATTAAATGCTCACATTTTGAGTCTAGTAAACAACAAAATGCTGTTAACAAAATGTAGCATGGCATTGGTACTAACTGCATGTGTAAATATATCATATGGGCAACAATAAAAAAAGAAATTATGTATTGTCATTCATGTAGTATCTACAAATTTGTAATGGTTGAAAAGAAGACATGCTATTTAATAATCCAATAAAATTATTCTTACCACCTTTTGTATATTAGTCATTCACGTCACTGATTAGATTCTTAGTCCAATTTATAGAAGAACTGTGTATTACATGCACATGGAGCAGTGAGATGCAATACACAACTTAGTTTTCCTTTGTATTAAAAATAAACACAAGTTCTCAAGAATGCCCAACTGAAAACGTTTCCGAAGATCTGGTAAATACATTGCATGTAGCTCTGCCGGTAATACAAAGCATAGGTTGTTCCCTCTGGCAGGCTGGTTGTTCAAGTGCTAATTGTAGGAGCAGGTAATAATCATCACGTTTGCGTGGTCTGAAGCCCTTCCTCTTTGACTACACAAGGAGAGAAAGAAGAACCATAATTAAAAAAAAAAAAACAACTAGTTACTTTCTTCAGGGGTAAATTCATTTAATTGCATAAACAGGCAATTTTACCTACGTCTCTGTTGCCAACAAACGACAGAAAAATGCATAACTTAAAATAACATGCTTTATTTTTGGCATATTAGTGAGTTGCAAGTTTAGCCTCCTTTGTCGGAAAGCAAATCTTGGCTGCATTAATATTGTATTAATTCATTTGTCCAGGTTCTGGAACTGAAATGACAAAGTCCATGAAGCACATTTAACATAAAGCACTTATCGTTTGCTTGCAGCCTTTGGGCATGATACATCTTTTGTTGTGTGTAGCAAAATATAAAACTACAGATATAATTGCTTTAGAGGATGCTAATCAAGAGATTGAAATATTTTGCATGCTCATGTCAGAGAGAGTGTTAGAACAAAGACTACGACTGGGATCAATCTGGTTCTTCAGAAGTCACCAGCTGACCCACTTTGCCCTGCTGAATTCAAGAAAGGCATGAGCTTTCTTTTAAATCTTTTATTGAATTTTCTTGCCCTTATTTTTAGCCCCATCTGCTATCACATTTAGAAACAAGTACTCATGGAAAAAAAATAAATAAATAAACAAACAAATACTGGCTGAAGTGCCAGTAGCTGGTAAATTCAACAGCATTTCAAAGCATTTGGCCAGAGCACTGTCAAAGTCAGGGAATACACACCGCGGGTTGCTTTGCTAAAGGTAGGTGTCGTTAGGGAGAAGGAAGGTAGCCTGTCACCTGCGCTTTAGCAACATGTCTAAAGACTGCTTCATGTCCTAATTTCAGCTGTTCACAAAACTCGGAGAGCTCACATTAAAAGCGCAGCTCACAGGGAGAGGGGTCGGAGGCCGCCTGCAAAGGCGAGCCGCGCACAGGGTGCTTTCCACCTGCCTGCGATGCAGGGGCTGGCAGGCCACACGCTGCCCAGCGTGGTCAGACCGAACTGCCCTTCTGGCTACTGTCCGTGCTGCACTAACAAGCCACTAACAGAGCGGAGCAGCTTTTGGAACGGGCAGCTGCCAGAGACGTGTGTTTTGCCCACCACACATTTGATAGAGTACAGAGACACAGCGTAAGCAGGAGACGCGTATTTAGCTATAGAAAATCAACACCTCGTATTTCAATTAAGCAGACAGCACGATTAATTTCCCATACGTTTTGCTAGCTATTACATGACTTGACACTGATTTAATATGAACATTTACTTTCTCAGCTATCTTAATACAGAGTACAGCAAACAAAACACCACGAATGTTGAAGCTCGGTGGCTAAGGCTATTAAAGCAAGGTCACTAAATCAGGCTCCTTTTCTCACGAAAAATAATTCCTCTTTTTAGATACCCTATATACAGCCGTACTTCTCTCCGTCGCTACGGAAGATGTACCGGCGGTGGGCCGCCACCCGACGCCTCGGCATCGCCCGCCTCCCGGCAGATGCTGGCAGGGCTTCTCGCCTGTTGCTGCCGGCCCGTGGCTGTGCCGGCGGCCGCCCCGGTGTCTGGGGAGCTGCGCGGCGCTGCCTGCAGTGCGGGGCTCGGCGGGAGCGCTGCCGGCAGCGGGGCCCGTGGGCTGAGCACGCCGCGGGCGCGCGTCGCTACCCACCGGCCTGGAGCCACCGGGCGGCTCCTCCGACGTCGTAGCCGTGAGAGCCGCGACTTTCCATAGGAATTACAGAGTGGCCAGGGCTCGCTCGGCTAAACCCGGGCTCTCGGAGCAGTCCCACCGGGGCGGCCGCGGGCCTAGCAGCCCGGCCGGACGGGCACCTGGAGCAGCAGGACCTGCCTGCTCTCCGGCGGGTGGCACTTGCTGGCGTGCCGCGCCAGCCCGGGCGCGCTGAAGAAGGTGGCGGGGCAGTGTTTGCAGGGGAAGCCCTGCCGCTCACCGCCCACCGCGCCGCTCTCGGGGACCCCGGCGGGCGGCGGCGGCGGCAGCAGCAGCTCCTCCCGCACGGCGTGCCACAGCCGGTGCTTGTCCCTGATGTCCGCCGAGGGGAAGCGGGCGCCGCAGAGGTGGCAGGCGAAGGTGAGGGGCCCGCGCTCCGGCGGGCCGAAGGCGGCAGGCCGCGCTGCCCCGTGGGTGCCCAGGTGCTTGCGGAGGTAAGCCTGCCGCCGGAACCGCTTTTGGCAGCAGGGGCAGGCGAACGCCTCCCCGCCGGGGCCGCCGCCCGGACCGGGAGCGCCGCCGTGAGCGGGGCCGGGGCTGGAGCCGGGGACGGCCGGGGCGCCGCCGTCGCTGTCCGCGCCGCCGCGGTGCTGACGGGTCGGCGGTGGTGGCTGGGGCGCGGCGGGGCCGCGGGGCCGCCGCTCGGGGCTGTTCTCCTTGCCCGGCGGGGCGGAGGCGGCGCCTTCCGCGCTGGGGCCGGGACGCGGCTTGTGCCAGCGGCGGTGCGAGGCCAGGTTGGCGGGACAACTGAAGATCTTGTGGCACTCGGGGCAGCGGTACTCGACGCGTACGATGCGGGAGCAGCGGTGCTGGGCCAGCGCCAGCGGGTCCGCGTACTGCTCCTTGCACAGCTGGCAGATGAACTCGCCCAGCGGCGTGCGCCCCGCCGGCGGCCCCGGCCGGCCCTCGGGCGCCTCCTCTTTGATGCGCAGCCCCAGCACGGGCGAGGTGGTCACCTCGTCGGCGAAGCTCAGCTTCCGCGTGGCCTTGCCCTTCTTGGCCGGCGCCTTGGCCCGAGACGGCCGCTTCAGCGCGGGCACCGACGGCAGCGACGGGGCGGGCAGCGGCGTGCGCGGCTGCAGCAGCAACTTCTCGGCGGGCGGGAAGGAGGCGGCCAGAGGGAAGGACTCGGCGGAGGCGGGGGAGCTGAGGCACCGCTCGAAGAGAGCCGCCCGCGGCCCCGCCGCGCTGCACGGCCCCGTCGCCCCCCAGGCGGCCGGAGCCTCCGGCGGTGTCAGCCCGGGGCCGCCGCAGCCGCCGGCGGGGGGCCACGTCGCGGGGCAAGCGGCGACGGCTCCCTCCTCCCCCTCGCCTTTCTCCTGCCCCGCTCCCTGTCTGGCAGCGGGGCCGTCCCCGCCGGCGGGCGGTGGGGGCGACAGCAGGGTGCGCGGAGGGTCCTGGTCCGGGTCTCGCTCCCGCGGGCGTGCCCGGTAGGAGCCGCCGGCTCTCCGGCTGCGCTTGACGAGGAAGCCGCGCGGCATCGCGGGGCGGCGGGGGGCAGCGGGAGCGCGGCACCGCCAGCCCGGCCGGCCTTTATACCCCCGGCGCCCGCTCCCGCCCGGGCGTCATCCGCCCTCCGGCGGCGGCGGCCAATGAGGAGTTGGGGCCGGCGCTGGCGGCGGGGGGCGGCGGCGGCCGGAGCGGGCCGGGGCCCGGGCTGCGGGGACGGGCGCGGTGTCTCGGGGAGCGCACCCCCGGCGCCCTGCCACACTGAGTGGGCTCCGGGGCCGAGAGTGGCTCCGAGATGGGAGAGACCCCGAGCTGGGTCACGGGCGCTGCCCTCGGCCGAGGGGCCGGACGGGGCTGGAGCAGGAGCGTCTGTCCTGGGTGTTCGTGCCGGTGCCTTCATCCGCCGCCGGGGCCGCAGGGACAGCCCCGCACGCCCTTCCGCTGAAGGGAGCCAGAGCTGCGAACTGGCTCCGTCCGTCTGCACAGCCACATCAGGAGTTTTCCCAGAAGTAGCCAGAAAGCTCCGGTATTGCGCTGAGCTCCCAGTGCCAGAGCAGGGCTGCCGGGCTGCCACCGCCGCCTATAATGCTAAATCACGGCTCTGCCTAGCGGCCATGACTGGTCCCTGGGCAGCCTCCCGAGCCCAGGGGAGGCGAGACTGAGGTGTGGTCCAGCAAACTGCGAAACCACGCGAACCTCGCCCCATCCTGCCCCGATGCAGCTCCCGGCCCGTTCGCGGCTGCCGTGACTTGGTGGCGCGCCTGGAGCAAGGACTCGTGTTTGCTAAAGCACTAATCGCCTTTTTAGGGGAATAAAGGCACTGGCAGCTCGGCTCATCAGCCCCTCCGGCCCCACCGCGTGGTACCAGCATCTCCTCTTGAACCGCCCATGCACCCGAGCCTGGGTTCGGCGGCAGGACGGTGCCGGCCCGCCCGCAAACCTGCTGCCCGCAGGATCATGAGATGGAGTGCCATTGGAAATGACCGCGCTGAAGCCTCGCTCCCTCACTGACCAGGGATAGACAGCCCTTGCCACGTAGGACGGTCGGACTCACCCTGCTGGAAGCATCGCCTAGCCGGAGGAAGTAGAGAGCACCAGGAGAAAACCTCTGGTTCGGGGGGCTTTCCAGAAGTGGAAGAAAGATGTGAAGCCTTCATGCAAGACCAGAACTCCCCCACCTTCTCAACACACTCTCTCAAACCACTTCTCTGTGTAAGTGCTCCGATTGTATTTGCTTAGCAAAGTCTTAGTAATGTTTTACATTACTCTCCTCTCCTCTCCCATTTTCCTCCATTTTCATGGTTGCACTGAATCTCAGATTAAATTATAGACTCCATGGGCTAGAGAGCACCCTTTTTTAGTGCAAACCACTGTAACTGGAACTAATGAGCCATGCTTTCATGCAGTTAGGCCACTCCACCCACTGGCTGCTTGATTTTTACCTCAAATTTTTTACCTTTGTAGCTGGACTTCCCAGCTACATTTCTCACTGATTAACTGGATCTCTGGTTACAGATCCACTGTTCCTCCAAGCGATATGTAAATAGTTCTTTCAATTTCGCCTTGTAAACAATGTTCCCGTTTGCTTTTTGCTTCATTGCAAAAATAGTCTGTGGTAGGAATGTCCAGTTCTGGAATATCCAGTTCAGTGTCCAGTCCTAAGCGGTGAGGAATCCAACAATGCCTTTTCCAGTACAGGAGTAGCTGGAGGTAGAGTGCCAGTTGGAATGCAGGTGTATAGAGTGCTTACTGAAACTCCAAACATTTTTCCAATAAAAGCTGTAGACTGGAGTTGCACCAAGGAGTTTCTCCATGTCCCCAGTGTCATCATCTGACGTGGCCCAAACATCATGGGAAGGCTTAGGGAGTAACTTGCAGTCACAGATGTAGAATCACTGCTCAATCTCCCCAGCTGATGTCCCTCCTGTGGTGCTTCTTGGCTCTTCCCTGTGATTTGGTGCCCATCTGTTCTTCCCCCTTGCTCACAGTGCCCTCCAGCACAGCCCTCTTGTAGCTTTCTAAACTTGCCTCCAGTTTATGGTCAGTTTCTAAGGTGAGACCCAAAACTGTAGAACCCATCACTCCATCCTTGGCCTTGCTGCAGCATGTGCCAATGCCTGCAGATGTCTGACAAAAACACTGGCAAAATTGTGTGGGGATTCAAGTTTGTCCAGCCACCACGTGACTTATTTCTCTCAATAAATATACTGGTTTCCCCAGGCTGTCTCTGCCCCAGTACAAATTCCCAGTACCCGGGCTCCCACTTGGAAGAGTTACAATTATTCTGTGATTACAGATGTCCCCTCCTTCCCACATTTACAAGAGAATGTAACCGTAGTGACTGGCATTATACCCAACTCTCACAGCTTCTAAGCTTTCCAAACTTTTACATGGGCTTATCTTCTTGCCATCATCCTTTACTCCTATCAAAAATTTTACAGTTAGAAAATTCAGATAATTTATAATAATAGTCAACAATTTTGTGGACACGCCTCCAAACCCTGTGTAAATTTGCTGGATTTTTTTTCCCTGTCCTATTACATTTCATTAGTCCCATCACCTGAGAGTGCAGCATTAGACCCTCCTGAACATGTTACAACAGGGAAACTTTAAGGTCAAAGCTTTTCTAAGCAAGGAGCTGAATGATGTTATTGCTCCTGACCTTACACTGTGTTCTCTGCAGTCTGCTAAAATCAAGTCAGCCTTGATTAAACATGTTGGCTGCTTACACATGAGTCATCCTTATATGACCTGAGATTAACCAAAGGGTTAATCTTACAGTAAATAGGAAATCAAACTTCTAGTGGAAAAATGCAGTAGCTAGTGGGGAACTGGCAGGGTGAAAACTAGAGGATCCATCCTACATCCTTTGCTTCCTCAGTCCCTTCCCTTCTCTCTGGTGGAGGCTGAATGTTGGTGTGCTAGGGAATGGAAACAGGAGTGGTACAGCACTGCTCTGCCTCCCTTTTTGCCGAAGTTTCTCATTTTGTGTGAGGGGATTTTACCCTTGTTCATAACTTTGCTGCTAACATAAGCCTGAGGGACCCATTCAAGCTTTGCCTAGATTCAGCAATCAGATTCAGTGATGGCTGGACCAACCTCTTGGGGACCTTCCAAAGTGAGGACAATCTTCAGAGTCCTCTAGATACCTTTCCCTGTTGCTGCCTTCTTTTAGGGACATGGTTTTGTGGTGGGCTTGTCAGTGCTGGGTTAATGGTTGAACTCTTAAAGTCTTTTTCAACCTAATCAATTCCTTGATTGTGTGACTCTGGAGGATGCTCCATCTGATTGCCCAGGGTGCTCCAGAGTTTGGCACTAGAAGCTCATCATCCAGGTCCTTGTACATCCCAGCTGTCTGGAGACTGTCATCTCTGGCTGTGAGGCAGGGATACCATTGCTTTCAGCCCCAGACATGTCTCCAGCAGCTCCAGGACACCTGGAAGCCTGTGCAGACACTGAAGAAGAGGTCTACACTTCCATGGTCCATGAATAAAACATTGTCAAGCAAGTGGGCATCTGCATTTATATTTCTGAACAGCCTTGGGGCATAAACAGCAAGAGGAATGTATGACAGAAATGCCAGCTGGCAGAGAGAAGGTCTTGAGTGAGGTCTGGTTCTCAGAGAAAACCCTAAAATCTCTTCTGGGGGCTGAGGGGACAGAAAGAAAAATAGAAATTCCTTTTGCCACTTAGTAAAAGAAAAAATAACCACAACTTTTAAAAAATAAGAGTTAAAAATAAAATAGAAAATAACTATAAGCAAATGATTAAAGAACATTTCTCTCCTTCATGTTTCCCCTCCCCACCACAAAAAAAAAATGGTTGTGGTTGAGTTTTTTATATTGCAGGATTTCAAATAAAGTTGACTTTTAAATCTTGCCCTGACATCTGGTTTGTAATTAATGGAGCAGTAAATAGGAGGGAGACAGAAGCTGCCTCAGAAGCCTGTCCTTGATACATGACTCTCCAGCAATATAGCTAGATGAGCGATACCACCCCCAGGCTCCAGCACTTAAACAAAATCCAGGCTGGTTCTGGTGGCAACACAAGCCATTTCATCTTCCCCCTAGAACAAGGCTGCCAATTATCTTGCTGCAGTTGGGGATTTGATGCTGGTGACAGACATTGAAGGAAATATCTGCATTATGAGGATATGGATTGCCTAATATAACTGACCTTGCTAGTATCTTAATTGTGTTTTGTTTTACCTGAGGACAATCTGCTTCAAGAGGAAAATGATGCTAACAGCTGCTATGTTTTCTTCATTGCTCAAATATTAACAAAAAGCCTCTGTAAGGGAAGGTAGAAAACACTGTTCTGTGAAGGTACTTGGGTTAGAGAGATTTGAAGGGTTTTGAAGACGCTATGAAAACATTTAAGCTTCCTTTTTTTCCACAAATGAAGTGATGCTGTGAACTGGTCACATCACATCACCCATCACTAAGGTGATACTGGGAGGACAGTGGTGCCACAGCTCCTGTCCCTACTCCATAAGTGAGCAGCTGTGTAAGGGCCAAAGGAGCAATCTCATGTTTTGGTTCTTCCCCACCTCAATCTGCATTAACCCTTTGCAGGGAAACCAGGTCCTCTCCAGGGAGCAGATTGACGTTCCCAAACTTATAAAAGTTATAGGAGACTTGATGGGACCATGATGACTTTTGTTGCTTCATTACAGATTTCAGCTCATATGCCACAGGCTGAAGCCATTTGCTAAATTTGCCTGCAATTGAGTTATTTATTTATCTTGCCATGTCATAAATAGGAAGAATTGGCTTCCTTTGGCAAGAGATTCTCAGCAGTTCCTATATGCATCATTATATGAAGCAACTCACTAAAAAAAACCACCTCCTAGTAGAGAAGGCCATGGTTATCAGTTTTATGGATACCAGCAGAGGCTTTCAGGGAGGCTGAGTCCCAGCTGCACTCGGTGCAGGTGTGTGTGCAAACAGGTGCATGGTTCTATGTGCAAAGAGAGCAACAACTGAAGAGACCAGAAGACAGCAGGACAGTGGGAGAAATGAAGTTTCTGAGG